AACATGCCGTCGGCCCAGTCCCGCGAAGGCCGGCCCGTCCAGGGCTCCATCCTTCCTAAGAAACGAGGCAGCCGGCCACCACCCTGCAGGCCCACGCCCCGAGGCAAAGCGAGCGCACTCCACCTCGCCAACAAGCCCGCCCCCGGTCACCCCGGAGTAAGGCCCACCGAGTTGCACGGGACTTCCGCGCCGAAGTCCGCCCTGCCGGGAAACGCCTCCTGAAGCGGCCGCGACGCGGGCACCTCCCCCAGGCCGAAGGAAAGGGAGGAGCACTCGGGCCCGCGGGAGGACTCAGGAAGAGCACTTCGAAGTCGGGGAGAAGGTCCCGAGCCGAAAGAAGAAAAGCCTTCCCTGCCAGCCCTTCCCCCGCCCCAGGCGGACTTCTCACGCTGACGCCGAAGGGATCTTCTGCGACCCGCGTTTGCAGAAACCCTCCAAGGGTCGCTCTGTGCCAAAGCGACTTCCTGGCATCCCCCCACCCCGCCCCGTCCCGCTTTCCAGAAAGCTTATCTCTGGCGCGCTTCTCGGTCCTCAAAAGTTGCCTGACGGCTCTCCGCGTGGAGGGTCGGCTCACCTGGTCCGCGTCAGATCTCAGTCAGAGCAAATAACTTTCCGCTCCAGCGGGGTCCCGGGCTCACTCAACCGGGAGGAGAGACCTTCATTAGCAAGTTTGCAGACTCTGGGAAGCAGCTTTTTAACGGCCGCGCAACCACCCCCACCCCCATTGCCGATACCACGACCGAGAAAAATGGTGCTTCGGTCTTGATCTTCAACTTTGAAACGCTCCACACAGGAGACTCCAAGAGCTCTTTTTAAATAAATAAATAAAAAAGTGGAACGAGAACGCGCTCGCTCTCCTTGGCATCCTTCCCCCTTGCAAACTTTTTCCAAAAGCACCACTCAGTCGAAACAGTGCTTCCTTGCAGGTCGATCTTGCGTCCACTTGCCGGAAATTACTACTACTACTACTACTACTACTACTACTACTACTACTACTACTACTACTACTACTACTACTACTACTACTACTACTACTAATAATAATAATAATAATAATACTACTACTACTACTACTACTACTACTACTACTACTACTACTACTACTACTACTACTACTACTACTACTACTACTACTACTACTACTACTACTACTACTACTACTAATAATAATAATAATAATAAAAAGTTGGCATACTGTTGCTCTGATTTCTGAGTCCCGGGCAGAGTTTAAAAAGTAGGCAGAATAGGGTGAAACCCGCTCGCACAAGCAGATGGAAGGAAAGGCACGCTTCTCACTAGAGAGTCAGGCCAACTTCACATCAGTGTGGGGGGTGGGGGAGAAAGGACTTTCTGGACAGTTTCTGTCTTATTCTGCAGGCGAGCCACACACTGTCCCACAGAAAAAATAACACAGACAGCATTGCCTTGCGCCCGTTTTTCACTCAGATGATAATATGAATATCTATCTGCAATTTTCGTGATCAGATACCACCTGCTGCAAATCAACAACTGCACAATAGTTTGAGAAAGAAAGAGAAAGAAAGAAAGAGAAAGAAAGAAAGAGAAAGAAAGAAAGAGAAAGAAAGAAAGAGAAAGAAAGAAAGAGAAAGAAAGAAAGAGAAAGAAAGAAAGAGAAAGAAAGAAAGAAAGAAAGAAAGAAAGAAAGAAAGAAAGAAAGAAAGAAAGAAAGAAAGAAAGAAAGAAAGAAAGAAAGAAAGATGTCCTCGGGCTCTTAGGGAGCCGATAAGTCTTCGAGTGTTCAACTTCCGAGGAAATATTCCCCATTCTTCCTCTTAAGGAACCATCTAACGACAGGCTACAGGTGAAGGTCAACCAAGCAGCTGTTCTCAAAGGCTGGGGCCGGCGGGGGCACCTGAAGCAAACGCGGCTGCGACTAGGCAGGAGAGCGAAGCGTCACCTTCGCCTCTCCTTTTCTCCCCAGGCCGCACTAGGGAGCCACGTTCGCCGCCGGTTTCCCAAGCGAGTCACGCTGTTCTCCGGCACCTCGTAATGCTTTGGAGCCCCCTCTTTGACTCTGGGTTCCTAGATCCATTCACGGCCACTCTCCTCCGTTTTAAAGGGGGGGGGGAGACTATATTTCGGCCCGCCACGGGGCCCCCTTCCGCGCAGACCCCTTCCCCCCCCCCAATCGCGGGGCCACCCCCGACACCCCCCAATCGTCGGGCCATCCACGACACTGGCCGCGCTCGAGAGAAACCTGGTTAGAAACGCATTGCAACGGGGACGCGGAAATCTGACCTCTGACCGGGAGAGATGGAGCTCACAATAGTGTCTGCTTTGATTCCTGGAAGGAGGGACAAAGGAACAAGCTTCCCGACAGAAGTCGTCGGCATCCGCCACCTCCCGAGGAGGGGGGGGGGCAATGAGCGCGTGGCCGGCCCTGGGAAGACCAAAGCGCCTGGCCCGGGCCGAGCAGCCCGGATCTGCATATGTAAAACACCGGCTCATTGACCCCCGGCTCCCGTGGTGCGCTTGGGGCCGGGGAGAAGGGAAGAGACGGGAGATCGTCACGAGGTGGCAGCTGGCAGTCGCCCGGGCCTGGCGTGGCCCGGCCTCGGAGAGAGAGGGGGGAGGTCAGGGAAATTAGGCCGCAGGACACGGAGCCATCTCGTGTCTGTGGTCTGTTCACACAGGCCTGGGTGTGGCCCTTGGACAGCCGGATGTAGGGACTGGCGTTGTATGAAGGGATATGGTTGGATGTTACAAGTTAAAACACTTCTATTTCAGTATTTACTGGGTTAATACTGTTTACTGAATCACATGTTTGTTTGTAACCAATGTGTTTAGAGAGCTACAAAGCCCGCCAGCTTCAGATCTAGTTTGTTGTTCTGATTGGAGAATAGACTGGCTCGTATTAGCATTTTATGACTCTTTGTCCTGAGCAAGGAGAAGTTAAGTCTCCAACAGTCTCCATTAGACTTCTGCCATGTAAGGATACTCTTCTGTCGTGTTCTGTCTAGCTGTGAGGATGTAGCTCTTTGTTATTTTTCATCCCGTATACCTTTTCCCATGCTAGGTTGTAGTAAACTTTTTATATTTTAAAACACACCATGGACTCTGACTCTTTAATACTCTGCTGACTCTGCTGATTAACTTTAAACTTAAGAATACCTAAAACCCAACAGGGGTTGATGGGCAATGGGTATTTTTAGACCGTGGTGCTCCAACTTTGCTAAGTCTGTGATCACTTCTGGAATTTTGAGGATAGATTGTGGGCATCACAACAAAATGGCTGCCATGGTGGTAGGGTTGCCAGCTCTGTGGTAGCTCACAAAGCAAAATTTTTGCTCACAAGACTCCACAGCTTAGAGGGAACATTGCCTAAAACCCAACAGATATGAAGGCTCGCACAGGCCAGCAGTGGTCCGTCTCCTGATCCCGCGGCAGTCGGCAAACGCTGAGCGCGCGTGGACCGGTTGGATTCAAGGGCGCTGCTTAATAGTCCGATCCAATGAATCTTTTGTTGGGGGCCGCGGTGGTTCAGAGGTTAAGGCGCTGACGCTGCAGCTCGGCAGTTCGAGACCCGAGTGCCGCATGAGGGAGTGAGCTCCCGTCTCTGGCCCCGGCTCCTGCTAACCTAGCAGTTGGGAAGCAAGAAATTGCAAGTAGATGAATAGGTACCGCTTCGGTGGGAAGGGAACAGGGTTCCCTGCGCCTCGGCATGCCGGCCACATGACCACGGGGAGGTCTTCGGACGGCGCCGGCTCTTCGGCTTGGAAACGGAGATGAGCACCGCCCCCTAGAGTCGGGCTCGACTAGCTTTCGAGCAAGGGAAACCTTTGCCTTTTAGGAATCTTTACTCCGAATTCATTGCCCCTGAATTCTCCAGGACTGTCAACACTGCACTCCTGAACACAGCTACATCTTTGTAGGCCTCTTGGCTCCAGTTGATCGAGAAGGGCGTCGCTGTGCTTCGATTTACGGTGGGATCCGCACCGTGTGAAGCCAGACGCCGGACATGCCTTAGACCTTCAGAAGGGGCCCGCTGGGTCATATGGGAGATCCATCTAGTCCCACTTACAGCCGGATCCTCCTTACGCTTATTCAGAAGCAAATCCCGCTAAGATCGGCAGGAGGATTCCCTCTTAGAGGTTAAAAAAAAAAATCGGGTTGCAAGGAATGAAATTATTGTTGATAGCTCCCTGGATAAAAATGTCCCGGGCTGTAATAAAGGGCTGGCTAAGACACTCTCTTCCCTACAGGCACCGGGCGCCATTCAAAGAAGTGAGCCTCCCTCCTACCCGTGGCCCCGGCCAAGTCCAGAATCCTTCCACGCTGTTTACTGCCTCGGTTTCCCTACTGTACAGAGCCGTGCTGCTCTTAACCTTATATAACCCATCATCACACGAATCGAGGGAAACCTCCTCTTTCAAATGTGGATCTTCATCACCAGCGTCTCCTTGAAAGAGTCCGTGACTGGGGATGTCCCTGTGACAATCTATGGCAGTCTCGTGACGCGCGCAATGCGCTTGCGCGGAGACTCGCGTGGCAGTAACAAACCTCCACTAAACCGATACTCGCTAATGTTGTCTTGGTTGGTCAGGGATCGAATAGTCATCATTAAGAACGACGCTGTTGTTGTTGTTTAAAGAATCTGTTCAATGTTTTGCTCCTACAAAGAGAATTTTGCTTATCTGTTTTGGTGTTCACTAGGGAATTTTCACAGGCCGGACGAGACGTGAGTGTGTGAAGTTTTCCAGCAGTTCTGTCGATGTGGGTGGACAGAGAATCCCACAGACGTACAGTGACCGCCTCCCACCCACCCCCCATCGGCCTGCAGTGCACAAAAGCTAAGAAGTTTCGCCTCTTCGGCGTGTAAGAAGATGGGTCTCATCACCACTGGAAGGGGGGAGGGTGTCCGTCTCCGCAAGGCAGTGACACTGGAGTACACACACACACACACACACACCCGGAGATGGGCGGCGGAGACTCCAAAGCTTAGAGGGAACATTGGCAAACCTCCACTAAACCGATGCTCACTAATGTTGTCTTGGTCGGTCAGGGATCGAATAGTCATCATTGAGAATAGAATCATTGAGAACGACGTTGCTGCTGCTGCTGCTGTTGTTGTTTAAAGAATCTGTTGAATGTTTTGCTCCTACAAAGAGAATTTTGCTTATCTGTTTCGGTGCTCACTAGAGAACTTTCACAGGCCGGACGAAACGTGAGTGTGTGGAGTTTTCCAACAGTTCTGTCGATGTGGGTGGACAGAGAATCCCACAGACGTACAGTGACCCCCTCCCACCACCCCCCATCGGCCTGCAGTGCACAAAAGCTAAGAAGTTTCGCCTCTTCGGCGTGTAAGAAGATGGGTCTCATCACCACTGGAAGGGGGGAGGGTGTCCGTCTCCGCAAGGCAGTGACACTGGAGTACACACACACACACACACACCCGGAGATGGGCGGCGGAAACAGCAGGTGCCTGAAGTTCACTTTCTTCGGCGCCGGCTTCGAGATGCCGCTGGGCTTCGGGGGCTCTTTGCTTGTTCAAGCTGGCCAAGGAGACCGGAAATGCATTACTCAAGGCCGACTGGAAGGAAACTGCCAGGAGTCGGCCTGGCTCCCTATTATCTGGAGGAGAAGCTTGTGTGGCAGAGGGCAGAGGTAACCCCCCCCCCCCAGACAGACAGACAGACAGACAGACATGCAAATTCCTGCCTCAAGGAACTGAGCTCCCAAGCAATGTTCCCTCTAAGCTGTAGAATCTTGTGAGCAAAAAATCCTACTTTGTGAGCTCCTGGCATTAAAGCTGTGAGCGAGTGATTTGGCTCCTGCATAAATCAGTCTGCTCTGGAGCCCTCCCTTCCTGAGCCAAGACAAAAATGTGTGAGCTGAAGGCTAAAAAACTGCGAGCTAGCTCACACTAACTCAGCTTAGAGGGAACACTGGTCCCAAGGCCAGAGGAGGCCAGCAGGGCTCTGCCGGCAGGTCCGCCTTCCCTTTGGGGGGCTATTCGTGTTTTGCCGAAGTTAGATCGTTTCCGAGGGTCGCCGCCGTGTCGGTCTGCGGCAGAACACTTTGCTCCGAGTCTAGGAGCACCTTCGAGGCCAACACGAGTTTCGGGGTCTCCGCTGTCTAGAGCCACGACTCCTTTCCGTCAGAGGGCCCTGGGACAATGCGCCCTCTAAGCTGTGGAGTCTTGTGAGCAAGAACTCTACTGGCACGAAAGTCGTGAGCGAGCGATTTGGCTCCTGCATATATTAGTTTGCTCTGTGGCCCTCCTGCTTGAGCTGAGACAAAAAGGTGTGAGCCGGAGGCTAAAAAAAAACTGTGAGCTGGCTCACACGAACTCAGCTTAGGGGGAACACTGGCCTGGAAAGCTCATCATACCCTGAATCCCTTGCTGGTCTCGAAGGTGCTCCTGGGCGGGGATCCAGTGTTAGAGACGCCTTCGCTGCCGCGCAGGCCTCAGCAGCCCCCGCTTGGCCTCCGCGCTCCCCGAAGCTGGGAAACTGGAGCTCCGATGTTGGGTATTACAAGATAAAAACACTCAGTATATATTGGGTTAAATGTCTGTTTTGTTGTTACAGGAAATCACATGCTTTTGTGTAAGCCAATGTTAGTTTAGGTCCCCCAGCCCGGGAAAATTCTTCCTGTTCCAGGAGTTTGATTGGAAGCAAAGTGTCAAAGTGTCTTTGCATTTTATGGCTCCTCTTCCTCTCTTTGTTTGCTGTTCTGAAGAAGCGTGCAAGAGAAGCCATTGCAGCTCTTCTAGTCCCGTCCTTTGTAGAGTGAAGATGTAGGGATTAGCTCTGTTGTTATTTTCCTCCCAGTTACCTTTCCCTGTGCTAGAATGTAGTAAAATCTTTTATATTTCTAAACACACATGGACTCTGAGTCTGATTATTGCACTCCAACATCCGAGAACTCTTTGCCCGAGGACTTGCTCACCGCTCCGGCCTCGCTGCTCTGTTGAGGGAATGGGGGGGGGGGATGCGGGTTCACTAGCCCTCCCCGCAGACGGGCCTGACCGCTGTCCGGTGGTCGCCCACAGGACTGGGAGGGCCTCTCCGCACACGGCCCTGGGAACCCCCTGGCGTCCTTGGACGGCTAGGAAATGTATAATTGCCTGGCATCGTATTTCATGTCTCCCTGCTTGGGGTAACATGGGCCTTCGCCACACAGACAAACACACACACACACACCCCTTTCCAGTAGAAAAGAGTCAGAGTCCAGTAGCACTTTACAAAATGACAAAATTTGTGGTGGGGTGTGCGCTTCCGTGGGTCGCTGGTCCCTTCGGAAGTGAGCCGTGACTCACGAGAGCTCCTGCCCTGCCACAGATTCTTCTGTTAGCCTTTAAGGTGCTCCTGGACTCTCTTGCTCTTTTCTGTCGCTACAGACAGACCAACACGGCTACTATTGGAGTTTTGTGTTTAATTTCTTAAAGTTAATTCAGCAGAGTTAGCAGAGTATAAATGAGTCTGAGTCCATGGTAGTTTAAAATATAAAAAGTTTACTAGAACGTAGCATGGGTAGGGTAAACAGGATGAAAAATAACAAAGAGCTTTATTTCTACATCTTCACATCTAGACAGACTAACGAAGAGTCAGCCTTACATGGCAGAGGTCTAATGGAGACTGGAGCTTCTTCTTGCTCTGCACAAAAAGTCATAAAATGCTAAATACTAGCCACTCCATTCCCCAATCAAAACAACAAACTAGATCTTAATCTGGCGGGCTTTCTAGCTCTCTAACAGATAGGTCACAAACAAACATGTGGTTCACTACACAGTATTAACCCAGTAAATACCAAATAGAAGTGTTCTAACTTGTAACATCCAACAGCTACCCTTCCCGTTCGTCTCCTCCACCGGGAACGTGGAGAAAGGCCATTTCCGTGTCCCCACTTCAAAGCGTAGGGGCAGCCCTGCGAGATCACACCCACTGTGCTGCGGCCTGCCGGGTCTGCAGCGTGTTCTGGCCTCTGTGGCCCTCTCATGGACAATGTTCCCGCTAAGCTGTGGAGTCTTGTGAGCAAAAATGTTTACTTTTTGAGCTACTGGCATTAAAGTTGTGAGCGAGCAATTTGGCTGCTGCATAAATTACTTTGCACGGGAGCCCCACCCTTCCTGAGCTAAGGCAAGAATGTGTGAGCCGGAGGCGAAAAGATTGTGAGCTAGCTCACACTAACTCAGCTTAGAGGGACCACTGCTCATGGACCAGCTCGGCAGGATGAGGGCGGAGCTGCCACGGGCCGTCTCCATTATTGCCACCTTTCCGGAAGCCATTTCGTTCATATCGCTACTTGTGTCTTCGACGCTTTGGCTGAGGAAGCCAGACCCGCATGCTTAAGGGCTCCTCAAGAGAGGAATCCCAGTCAGCTGAAAGCACTGGGGTCTCCCCCCCTCCCCCCCCTCCTTGGGGTGTGAATAGTAACGCGCATGGCCAACCCCATATGTGGCCAGTATCCACCCAATATGCATCTACCTGCACCCGTTTAGATATCAATGTCCCACCGCAGCGTGAAGGGGGAGGAGAGACTTCGTGCACTAGCCATCTGTCGATGGGAGACGGACATATACCTGAGAGGGGGCGGCGACGTGCGTCTACAGAGCGGCAGCGTGGATTCTGTTCGACGAGTCCCATCACGCTCGTGAGGTCTGGAGGGTCCGCCGCCTGCGGTAGTGCGCGCCTGCGAGCCGGGAGGGCCACCTTTGCTTCCAGGTCCCACGCTGGAATCCGGGCCAGATCCCGCGTTCCGCATTTCAGAACCTCGGCATCCTTCGGACCAGTGTTCCCTCTAAGCTGAGTTAGTGTGAGCTAGCTCACAGCTTTTTAGCCTCCGGCTCACACATTTTTGTCTTCGCTCAGGAAGGAGGGCTCCAGAGCAGACTAATTTATGCAGTAGCCAAATCACCTGCTCACAACTTTAATGCCAGGAGCTCACAAAGTAGAATTTTTGCTCACATGACTCCACAGCTTAGAGGGAGCATTGCTTCGGACCCGAGACTTTAAAGCCTGTTTCTGCCCCGTGGAAGCAGATCGTTCCTTCAGGGTGCCATTCCCTGGAGACTCTCCAGGCAGCGTCTCCAGGAAGCCTCGAAGTTCAGGTTGTCACACACACACTGACACACACACACACACAACCCCGCCTGATGTGGTCGACATGTCAGAATGTAAGCAGTGGCGACATGTATGGAAGAAGACCACTGAGAAATTGTTGGGTGTTACAAGTTAAAACACTTCAGTATTTACTGGGTCAATGATGTTTGTTAAGTCACATGTTTGTTTGTAACCAATCTGTTTAGACTATGGGATGCCCGGGAACTTTGGAGCTAGTTTGCTACTCTGATTGGAAACTAAGGTGTCAAGTATTAGCATTTTATGGCTTCTCTTCCGTCTTTGTGTCTCTTTGTTCTGACTGAGAAGAAGACGCCATGCCATTCCAGTTTTACCTTTTAGCTGTAAGGATGTAGGCGTATCAGCTCTTTGTTATTTTATATCCTGTGTACCTTTTCCCATGCTAGGTTATAGTAAACTTTTATATTCTTTTAAACACACCATGGACTCAGTCTCTTTAATACTCTGCTGATTTACTTTAAACAAGAATCCCATCAGAAATTAGCATTGTTTTCACTTCAGCTCTGGTGTTCCTTCTGAGGGAGCGGGATGAGGTAGAAATTTTTAAAGAAACGTAAACTGAAGTTCCTTATGTGGAAAATACGTTAGGTAGAGCTGTCTGTCTGTCACACACACACAACAACAACAACACACAGAGAGAGAGAGAGAGAGAGGCCTCAGTGTGGGCACAGAAATGCAAACCTGAGAGAGGTGGGAGAATCCTGCCTCACCCACCTTTCAAAGTTCTTGGAGAAAGTGAACAAGCACGGAGAATCTCAAAAGGCTTTTGACAAGGCACCCCACCAAAGACTCCTGAGTCAACTTAGCAGTCATGGGATAAGAGGACAGGTTTTTGTTGTGGATGAAAAACTGGCTAAATAACGGGAAGCAGAGAGTAGGAATCAATGGACAGTTCTCACAATGGGGGGGGGGAGTGAGCAGTGGGGTCCCACAAGGACCGGTACTATTTAATTTATTTGTAAATGATCTGGAACTGCGTAGTGTAGTGGCCGAGTTTGCAGATGACAAAAAAAAA